GATCCTGAATGGCAAGTGCCTGGCAGAAGCAAATATTTTTGGAAAAGTTGCTGTTATAACATTATCCTAGGATTAAAGTTGTTTTTTTAATAAATGATTTTGCAAATATAATATCTAAAATCTAATTTAAAAAGTCAGATATTGTAAGACAACATGAAAACAAACAAGAGAAAACAAAAACAGAGCAGGTACAAACAGTGAAGATATCAAAATTGACTTCATAATGACTGTAATTTTACTTTTTATGCTGAAGGATTTAAAGGACAATAATTAAAATGTTGCAGAGAACTGGAAATGATAAGACAAGACTCAATTGGATATTCTAGAATTAAAAAATAAAGTAAGTGAAATTAAGAACTCAATGGGTGGGTTTAACAGTTGATTTGCAGAGGAAAGAACTGCTGAATTAGAAGATAGGCATACATCCAGAAAGAAGCAAAGAGAGACAAAGGAGGGAGAAAAACAAAAGGGAGCATAAGACATGTAGCGGATACAGCGAGAAAGCCTAGCATATGGCCCATTGGAGCCCCAGAAGGTGAAGAGGCTGAGAATGAGAACAGACAGTGTTGATGAGATAATGACAGAATTTTCTAAAATTGACAAAGAATATTAAGGAGCAGGGAAGGAAGCCCTGGAAGTGCTAATGCTAATTAGGCTAAATAAAAATAGTTGCATGTTTTGTCACATAATTGTTAAATTGCAGAAAAACCAATAAAACAATCTTCAAAATAGGCCAAGATTACCTTCAAAAAGCAGCAATTAGACCGAGGGCTGATTTCTGAGCAGTAACAAAGCTCACCAGAAGACAATGGAAAAACAATAGCCAACCTAGAATTTTGTACTCAGTGAATGTGTCTTTCAAGAAGAAAAAGAAAATACAAAATGCCTTCAGACAAATAAAAATGAGGACTGTTTTGGGGAAAATATTGCACTAAAATAAATACTAAAGATGATCCCAGATAGAAGAACAGAGATAAGGGAATAGAAATCATAAAATGGAAAATATGGGAATCCATGTAAATTAACATTGATTACACACAACAACAGTAGTATGTCTACATGAGTTTCAAGGATACACAACACAAAAATATAATAAGATAGAAGGTAAGAAAAGATAAAAAAGTGGAGTTAAAATGTTTCAGTGCTCTTTACTAGATTGCAAGTTGTAAAATTTTATTTTAGGTTCAGGTGCAGGTTTGTTATACAGGTAAATTGTATGTTACAGGAGTGTGGTGTACACATTATTTTACCACCCAGCTAGTAAGCATAGTACCTTATAGGTAGTTTTTAATTCTCACCCTCCTTCCTCCCTCCACCGTCAAGCAGGTTTTGGTGTGTGCTTTTCCATTCATGTGTCCCTGTGTACTCAATATTTAGCTACCACTTATAAGTGAGAACATGTGGTATTTGGTTTTCTGTTCCTGTGTTAGTTCACTTAGCATAATGAGCTCCATCTCCAATCATGTTGCTGCAGAGGACACGATCTCATTCTTTTTCAAGGCTGTATAGTATTATTCCATGGTATACATGTACCACATTTTCTTTATCCTGTCCACAGCTGATGGGCATTTAGGTTGATTCCATATCCTTGCTATTGTGAGAAGTGCTGCCATGAACATACATATCCATGTGTCTTTATGGCAGAACAACTTGTGTTCTCTTGGGTATATGCCCAATGCTGGGACTGCTGGGACGAATGGTAGCTCTGCTCTGTGTTCTCTGAGCATTCACCAAACTGCTTTCCACGATGGCTGAACCAGCTTACATTCCCACCAGCAGTGGAGAGGCATTCCCTTTTCTTTGCAACTTCACCAGCATCTGTTATTTTTTGACTTTAAAAAGAATAATAACAGAATAGATGACTTCTGATAAAATAGAGGGAGAGATGAGATTATAAAAGTAATCCAATAAGAAAAAGTGTGGTCTCTTCAAAAATGGACTGGCTATCCATTAGAAGACGGATTTTTTTTGACATTTCATGTGGTTATCCATATGAAAAACAAAAACAAAAAACCCCAAGAAATGGGATCCCTGTGTAAAAATTAATTTCAGTCAGATTTTACTGTATATGTGAAAGGGGAAACAATAATACATCTAGAATGTAATTTAGGAGAATGACTTTATGATATGAGGATGGGTAAAGACTTTTTAAACAGAACAGCAAGTGCTGAACAGAAAGGAAAAGATTGACAAAATCTGGCTACACAGAAGTTAGAAGCTTCTTTCATTGAAAGACATTCAGAGAGTGAAAAGGCCTCATAATGGGGGAAGACGTTTGCAACACATATAACCAACAGAGGTTCATATTTAAATAATTTCTACCATAATTGTAAAGAAGAAACAATTCCATAGAAAAATGGGCAAGCAACCTGGATGGACATTGCACAAAAATGGATATCCAAATGGCCAATAAATAAATGAAAAGGCGCTTGAGAACATTAGCCGTCAGAATCACAAGGAAATATCACCACATTAGCTAAATTACAATTATAGATGTTACCAAGTGTTGGGAAAGATTTGGAGCAGTAAGAACTCTCATATCCATAGGGTTGGTGAGAATGTAAATTGGCACATACATTTTGGAAAGCCATTTGGCATTATCTTCTTAACTTCCAGATATGTATAGTCTATGATTTAAATATTCCATTCCCAGGTTTATACCTGAGGGATGTGTGTGTGCTTGTGCACCAAGAGACATATACGAGAATATTCACGGTAGGATCACTTGTGATCACCCCAAACTCCATCAACGGTAGAATGAATAAACACACATTCATACAATGGAATATGATGCAGTAATGAAAATGAATGAACTATAACCAAATGGAAAAATCTAACAAAGATAATGCTATATGAAGAAAACCAGACAGAAAGGATTCTATATGATTTCATTTATATAATGTTTAAAAATGAGGCAAAACTATGAATAGAATATAGTGTGTTTAAGGATATATCCTGAGGTGATAAAAGTACAAAGAAAATAAAGTAGTTGTCATAAACAGTCAGGAAAGTTGTTGTCTTTAGTGGAGGCAGAGCCTGCAGTTATCGAGAAGGGGCCTGTAGGGTGTTTTGGGGGTATAGAAAATGTTGTATTTCTTTACCCTTAAGGTGGTTACAAATGTGATACTTGAGCTGTACTTTTTCATTTCATGCACAGTTCCATATGTTATAATTTACTTTAAAAAAAAACCAAGATAGTGGGGACAATAAACCAAATGATGACCTAGTATTCTGCTGAGAGCAAATAAGTCCTGAATATATATCCAGGACATTTATTGGTAGCTTCACTCTCTGTTTATAGCTTAAATAATGCATTTTCATAGGGCTGTAGTGATAAATTGTCAAAATGAGGAAATGAAAATATGTCCCACTTTTTGATGCCTATTCAGGTTGCAGAGTTTTATAGGCATTTGTCATTACCAGTCAGCTTTGATTTAACAATCTGACTTAAGGGAAAATCTTGAAAGACAAATGCTTTGTGAGGTAGCTAGGCTTTACATTTTGCGGCACAGGGTTGGGACGGGTATTATTTGTGGCTACTTCAAATGAAAGAAAATCAGAGAAAGCATTTTCAAACAACATTCTCTGAAATATTTATTATGTTGAGTCCTCAGAGATATTTGAAAGAATTCTTTTAAGATCTTGTAACAAAAGTGCAAGGTGGGTTTCCTTACGTTGTGTCAATATATCAGAAACAAACCCTATTCACTCCCTATGTGCTGGTATTGAACCTTGAATCAACTGCATTTTTTCAATGACTATAAGCTTTATCATTTAAGTGCTGACAATTTAATGAAAAGAAAAGTTTTACAAGGAAGATTAGAGGTCAAAGGGTTGTATCGTGGTAGTAGGAGCACATGAGAGTGTTCTACAGAGCTAATTATTACTGCCAATCCCAAACTCAATATGTTTAACTTAATATTGAAATGGCAACTTGGTTCTGCTGACACCTTCCTGGTCATCCCCAACCTTATAAATGTAAATTTTATGTAAGGCTTCAATAAAATATACATTCACTGAACATCTACCATGTGGACTTGAATATATTAGTGCTGGAAAATTCAGCCTCTATGAATATAACATGTGAAGAAGAACACACACACACACACACACACACACACACACACACACACACACACACAGAGTGATCGTGGGTTGAAGGCAGCATGCTCTGATCAGCACTGTGTATACTCAGGTCTCATCTTCATAATGATTTTGCAATGTGGCCATTTGTTACTTTTTAGAGAAAAGGAAGCTGAGGATCAGAAAGGTTAAGTTATATCCCTAAGGTCACAGGACTAAGTGACAATGACTGTGGGAAACCAGAACTCACCTTTACCTGATGGTTCCAGGTACCTGACAAACATGGTTTTGGCATGTACGTCTCTAAGCTGCATACTTGCTTTGAAAGACTCAGTCTATTTGTGTAAAGATATATTTCTCAGCAAACTAACACAAGAACAGGAAACCAAAAACTGCATGTTCTCACTCGTAAGTGGGAGTTGAACAATGAGAACACATGGACACAGGGAGGGGAACATTACGAGCTGAGGCTTGTCGGGGGGGATGGTGGGGGCCTGGGGGAGGGGCAGCATTAGGAGAAATACCTAATGTCGATGACGGGTTGATGGGTGCAGCAAACCACCAGGGCATGTGTATACCTGTGTAACACACCTGCACGTTTGCACATGCATCCCAGAACTTAAAGTATAATTAAAAAATTATCTAGAAAAAAAGATATACTAATATTTACCATTTCAAATGGAAGTGAAAGCTAAATCTGAACTATCACAAATATAGGAACGATTTGTCCACAATGTGCAGAGAAAGTAAATATTTTCTAGGCAAGAGTCACATAGCGAGTTCTCTGAATGGAAGAGACAGGCTCTGCTTCCTGAAAGCATTTTCCTTTGAAATGCTGGCAAAGGGGAACTTCAGGGGCAGAGAGCCTGGTGCCAAGCTCTGCAGGGTAACTGAAATGCAGTGTGCCCAGTTCCTACCTTCTGATTGATTTTTATCGTCTCTTCTGTGTGGTAGAGGAGGAGCTTTTCCCCGGAAGAAGTCAGGTTCACGTACACCTGGAGGCAGGGGTACTGGGAGCGTCTCCAGCAGTCTGGACCGCAGCTGAAGGAGCAATTAAATGTTTCCGTGATAGACGCGTTCAGCAAGGTGCACTGAGACTCTTCGGTCCACACGCTGCAAAGGAAGGGGGAGAGTAAACACAGACCCAGGGCTAGGAGAGAGGAAGGCACGGTCTGAGGGAATTATTTCTCAACTCCTGAGGCTGAAACATCTTTTCCAAATCTCTAACGTGATCTATCTGTGTAAAGTTTGGGCCTTTGAACAGAACAGCTTTCAGCAAACTGCAGTAGAACGTAGACAAAGTTTGACACACAAGAAGTTTTTCAGTGACTTCCATTGGATATGGTATTCTGCAGTGCTTGACTTCAGTTCCTTTTTCCTTATTGAATTCACTGGTAACGTGAGGCGGGCTTCAAAACCATCACCTGTCCTCACCTGTATTCCCACAGTGCAGGCAGCGGCTTGACGTGCTCCAGCCCCTACCTCTGCGTGTTTTACTTTGTACTTTCTTCACCCCCACTCCCACCCCCGCCCCGTCTGTGGGCACAGGTGTGCGGGAGAGGAGGGTAGGCTGGCGAAGGAGTGGCGGGCCTTGTGTCCAGCTTGATGGATGAAGGACAGTGTGAGGTGCCTTGAGGCCTTGCTGAGAAGGGAAAAAATACCTCGACCCTTTCGTTATACCGCAAGCAGTCACTTCCTGCACATGCCTCTCCCCCGTTGGTGCTTTGCAGACACTATCTTCTTTTGTTCTCTCAACAACTGTATAAGTTGGGTAGTAATTTCTTTTTAAAAGTACGTGGGCCAGGCGCAGTGGCTCGCACCTGTAATCCCAGCGCTTTGTGAGGCTGAGACGGGCAGATCACGAAGTCAGGAGTTCAAGACCAGCCTGGCCAACATGGTGAAACCCCATGTATACTAAAAATACAACAGTCAGCTGGGTGTGGCGGCGTGCACCTGTAATCCAGCTACTCAGGAGGCTGAGGCAGAAGAATCGTTTGAACCTGGGAGGTGGAGGTTGCAGTGAGCCAAGAACACGCCACTGCACTCCAGCCTGGGTGACAGGGTGAGTGAGATTCTGTCTCAAAAAAGGAGTGAACTGAGAAATCTCATGACATATGCAAGGACAAACAGGCAGTAAGTGATGGGAATCGTGAGCCCCCACCCAATCGTGTAATTCTTGAAGGCCCAGGCTCATTCTATTGAGTTGTGCTGTCTCCGCACAAACACAATGGAAAAGAAACCCCTTGATGCAGGTTAATGGATGAGTAAGGTGCCCTGCGACCTCTCACCTGGAAGGGTTCCAGCTGCACATTGGCCAACTTGTCATTTTAAAATACCTTTAATTTTATGATCGAGATCAAGATTTGTAATTAGGAACGAACACACCAGCAGTCGATGGTTTAGGCTGATCACCACAGCAACGGGAAAACAGGTTTTGTCTGCGGATTAACACCCTTTCCCTTGCTGCACGGGCATCCGCAGCTTCACACTCCTTTGCATGTGTGAGGTTTTATTCCAGAAGCAGTTACTAGACCTGATGCCTTCCCTTGGTGTGGCGAATTGTATTTCCCTGGGACATGGGCGGTCAGATTTTGCCTATCTGCTGAGGGAAGAGTCTTCGATGGTTCCAAGCAGATGTGAAGATCTGAAAGTGCTTTGGAAGCAGTGGCCGCTCGGGGCCTGAGGCATCAGCGTTTTCAGGGAAAACGAGCACAGCAGAGCAGCCGCAAAGGCGAACGAGGATGCCGTGATTGCAGCAAATGACTGCATTTCAGCTAGATTTTGCTTCTAAAATGAAAGTATTAATTTAGATGGAGAAACAAATGCCACAAAATGGTTTGATTTTCTTTTGGATTGAAACCTCAATGTTTCATGTGAAAGGGTCTTGCTTCTTTAAGCTGAACTGCTGTGAGACTTCCCCCATTTGCTACAGCAAGGCTGCGCTCGCCTGCGTTCAGAGTGTCCAATTTATGGACACAGGTTAGCCGGTGGTGTTTACCACACGGCTCACCGAGGGCGGAGCACGCTTGCTGTCGTGTGATTATTGGCCTTCCTATCCATTCAACAAACCCAGGGCAGATACTGAAATGAAAAGATTCATCTGTCATTTTAAAAAGTTGATGCATAGCAGGGTTTCTCTGCCTAGAAGGCACATCAGAGTCACCTGGGAGCTTGAACAGATACTGGAGCCTGGGTTCCACTCCAGACCAATTCAGTCTGACCTTCTGGGGTGATGGTGGTGGGGGCTGGGAATTAGCGTTTTTAAAAGTTTCTGGGGAAGTTGGAATGTTCAGCTGAGAACCACTGATGTGGAAGGTGATGGAGGGGTTGGGTGGGGGGAAAGGGGTGAGGGTGAGGGAGGGGTACTGAGAAAGTCTCCAGCAGTCTGGACCGCAGCTGAAGGAGCAATGAAATATTTCTGTGATGGACGCATTCAGCAAGTTGATGGGGGGTTGGGTGGAGGGAAAAGGGGTGAGGGTGCAGGACAGACAGAAGCATGATTGGCAGGAATAGGAACTTCGGAATACGCAGGATGTGGGCTTGAATCTTAGCTCAGCCACAAGCAGGAGCGGTGTGACACCAGGGAAATCACATCCCTCTTGAGCCTCAGTTTTGCCATCTTTATAATGAGTGTATTTATACTTACCTTAGAGAGTAGTTGTGATGGTTAAACAAGTAAAAATCTTTCTTTGACACCTGGTGTCCAGGTTATATGTAGAGCTGTATTTATCACTACTATTGGGTAACATTATTGAAAAGTATTATTTACCAGGAACTTTGCAAAGTTCTTGTCAGGAAAGAAGGTGAGGAAGACGCCCCTCAGAGTGCCTAAGTGACGGGGAGGATGGCGGAGACAGCGGTAGGGTCCCACCCGCCCAGTGGCATTACCTCTGCATGTACGAGCGCAGGAGTGTGATTCCCAGCAGAAAGTACATCATGATGGAGCACAGCATCATGGCCAGTCCCAGGAGAATGGCTCGGTCCTCTCCTGCCTTCAGGGCTGTGACTGTTTTCCTTTTGTCCAGGAGGTCATGGTCCCTGATTTTCTGGTAAATATTTCTGAGGTTGAAAACAATATGGTCTTACATAGAGTTGAGTTAATCAGCTTGTCCCTGGAGAGCAGGCGAGTTTCTGCCCAAGCCTTCCTAGGGCCTCCAAACCTGCCTCAGTGCAGCTGCACTCAGAGTGTGTCCACTACTCACACACTGCACACGTGCATCACATACAAGCACACACATGCACGTGTGCATCACACACACAAGAACACACATGCACACGTGATCACACTCACAAGCACACACCTGCACAGGTGCATCATACACTCACACACAAGCACACACCTGCACATGTGCATCACACACTCACAAGCACACACCTGCACACGTGCATCACACACACACAAGCACACACATACACACGTGCATCACACACTCACAAGCACACACCTGCACACGTGCATCACACACAAGCACACATGCACGCGTGCATCACACACACAAGCACACACATGCACACGTGGATCACACAAGCACACACCTGCACACGTGCATCACACACACACAAGCACACACCTGCACACGTGCATCACACACTCACACATAAGCACACACATGCACACGTGCATCACACACACAAGAACACACATGCACACATGGATCACACACAAGCACACACCTGCACATGTGCATCACACACAAGCACACACCTGCACACATGCATCACACACACAAGCACACGCCTGCATGCGTGCATCACACAAGCACACACATGCACACGTGCATCACACACACACAAGCACACACCTGCACCTGCACGCATGCATCACACACTCATAAGCACACGTGCACACGTGCATCACACACACTCACAAGCACACACCTGCATGCATGCATCACACACACTCACAAGCACACACCTGCACGTGTGCATCACACACACAAGCACACACCTGCACGCGTGCATCACACATACTCACAAGCACATGCATGCCTGTAGGTGCACAGTCGCGAGCAGAAAGAAGCCCTCCTTCTTCGCCCTGGGGCCAATGTCTAACTATGATTTAATTTTCCTTGTATCTAATTCCAAAGGAAGAAAACAACCTTCTCAACCCTCAAAATAATGCTTTGGGTTTGTTGACTTTACTCTTTAACCCAGAGCTGATCATTATTGATTTTTAAATAATTTTGGAATATCTAACGGCGCACTAATTCAAATAAATGGCAACATATACCAGGAATATGTCAAATGAGTCCTTCATTTCTCTTCAGTGGTGATAGGCTGAACTTATTCTGGTTAACATTTTTCTCCAGCTGGGGGCTGCTTAGGACTTTATTGGCTTAGATTGATGAGCAGTGTGAAGGTGTGGAGTGGTGACCCAGCCTTCTATTCTCATATGTGTAACCATTCGCTGGAGTTAGAAAAGTGTCATTCAAATCAAGGCCAGACCCATAACTCTGGACAGTTTTATTAGTATTTTGGTTTTAAATTTTAGAGCAGCAATGTAGGGTCAGAAAGAACAACTGTCTCCTGACTTTAATGATTTCACTGCTTATTAGCTGTGTGATCCGTGGCAAGTGCCTAGGCCGTTCTGCTCCCCAGTTGGCTGCAAAGTGAAAACAACATTTAAACGCATTTTAACGGCTGACATGACACAAGCAAATCATCCAAGAGAATGACTGACTTAAGTAATACATGTTTCCATTAAAAAATGGGGTGGGGAGCTACAGCTCAATGACACAGACATCGGAACACCCTGAAATTGCCACTTTTCTCCAAATAATTTTAAATGGACAAAGTGGCAAGAAAAGGAAGAGTATATAAAGCTTAGGAATGGAAGATTGGATTTGAAACCAGGTCTGGAGGAGAAAGCAGAAAAGGAGACGCTGGATGTCTGGGGAGCATGAGCAGGAGCAGGAAGGAGACGCCCAGGAATCCCTGCAGGGCCTTCGACCCAGGCGCAGCCCCTGATTGCTCAGTTTCTATTTTGAGGAGGGAGCTTTGGATTGCAGGGCAGTGGAAACGGGAACATCGCTGGCCCTTGGAGCCTAGAAACAGTGAGGACGACAAATAAAATGCTGAAAATGGAAAAAGAAACTCAAGTCATTTTTTTTAGCTTCAGGCAGAAAGCCAATGTGCCTAAGAATAACTTCAGATTTTTCATTCAAATTTTTTATCACTGATCACTCTTGTTGCTTGGGAGAGGACCCGGAGTAGAATCTGAAGAGGAGCTTTGCAGCGAGGGAAGATACCTGTTGTTTGGGCAGTGGTGTGTTTATCCAGGGCTTGTATTTAGCTGACTGGTGTTTATGGCCAGTGTCTGCTCTGATTGGTGGATCTGTTCTGAGCTGGTTGTTAAATATTTTGATTCCTTATAGAGGTAATAGAGTGTGTATGTACTTAATATATTTCCATGAGTTTGTCGGGCTGAGTATTTATTAATCTAAGTATTGGTTGTACTAAATGAACTGATTAGCTTATGATTTTTATTTTGACGTTTGCTTTATGAAGTGGTTTATATGAACCTTACTCTCCCTGTGAAGCGTGCTCACTGCATTGCAGCGGGAGCGTCGGAGCTACACACGGGCCTTTGCTCGCCCGCGTTTCATGGCCCTGCCCTTCCTGGCCTCTTCCTGTTCTCACCTGCTCTTGGCTGCTCACGGTCCTTGCCAGAGGCCTGGAGAGCCCACATCTTTCATTGCTCCCCGCTCCCAAACCCAGTGCCCCTGGAGTCGCTGGCCTGCCCTGCTTTTGACTTCCACAGACTGGCAACTGCCCACCCTCTGTGTTTCTCCATTCGTTTTTGAGATTCTCTTGGAAATTGTTGGATTTATATCAAAGCTTTTCAAACTTCACCTTTATGAACTCTAATTTAAAAAACATCTTGTCTGTTAGCAGCTAAAGCCAGTGGGCAGAAAGCTTTCTGAATCAGGAAGAGACAGACAGAGTCTGAGTAGCGTCAAAGACCTGCTGTAAAATAATGATCTGCTGTTACTTCACTGGTGTTATTATTAACATGGATTTAACTCTGATGACTGCCATTGAGATCCGTACTCCTGCAGATGGAGGACAGCAAGGAGGGAGCACAATCTCACAATTCCAGGGTGTTGGACTGTCACATACATCACTGACGTCAGCCTATACCCATAAAAGAGAAGTGCAATCAGTCAGTTGTGTCAGAACAGGAAGCATACTAAGATGATTCAAACGTGTGATTCAAAATCAAATCACAGTTTGAAAGTGGTTAGCAAATGTTTTGATATGCTCTGGAATGTAGAGAGATGGAAAAAGTGAATGATTTTCATACAGCCCGAAAAAATCTGAGAAATGAGGTTGCTACCCAGCAAAATGTTGAGTTTAGGTTCACAAACTTCTTCTGAATGCTGGCAACCTCTTGTTACTGGGGATATGGCCCCTGCCCCAAAGGAAAACAGACATGTACATAAATATCAGCATAGGATGAAAAGTTTAATGATTGAGCAATTCACAGATATTCCCATGTATTCCCATAATAATGGGAGTGGAGAAGAGGGGGGAATACCCTAGCCTGAGGGAGCAGGACAGAGCCAGGGTTGAATTTAGAAAGGCTTCCTGAAGGAGAAGCACCTTAAACGAAATCTTCAAGGTTGAATCAGTCAACCAAATGAGACAGAGTCAAGGGTGTTTTAGACAGAAGGGCTCACGTGAACGAAGGGCTGGAGACTTGCAACTGCAAGGTGAATATCAGGAATGACAACTGTTTTAATATTACTAAGATACCTATGGGACAGGGAAAAAAAAAGGCAGATGAATTTGCAAAGGTAGGCAGGCCATGAAAGGTTTTCTAAGTCTTTCTAAAGAGCCTGGCCTTTATTCTGTAGTGAACGGGATCTGTCGGAGAGTTTCAGAATGATCACTCTGGCTGCTGTGCAGAGTTTAGATGAGGAACAGGACAAGCCTTCCATCAGAGAGAGGGACGGGGGATTGCTGCTGTGGCGCTGGTGAGGGACGGTGCGGCTGAATCTCGGGCCTAGGCAGGACCTATGAAGAAGAAGCGGCACACGCAGAAACATCTACGAGACGGAACTCAAGATTTGGTGGCTGACAATACAGGGGATGAGGAGGAGGAAGGAGAAAGGGCGTCGTGTAGACTTATGCTCTGTCCTCGGTGGGGAGGACTGCAGAAATGGGGGCGCGTGGGCAGGTGAGGTTCTCGTTTCCATGTTTCCCTGCTCTTCCAGGACCCAAACAGGTGACTTCTGCTGACCTTGCTGAAGAGGAAGAAGGTGAGTGTATATTTATAGATTCTCTTCCCACAAGTTTCCTGTCCCAAGCACAGGCAGAGGAGTGACTAATCTCAAGGGTGAGATAGTCTGAGAGTCAGAAGGCCACCTCTGTTTTTTGGGTCACTGCTTATGTGTGGTGTAATTTTTGTGAAAATAATGATCCTTTTGGACTTGGTTTTGTGCAGGCCTAGTGTGCTTTAGGATTTTGCTTGTCCAGGTAGTGTGGACAGTAAGTCTCAGTTGGGGAAGAGGATATTCACAGCCCAAGGCAGGGGGTTCTACCCCACATTGTCTTCAGTGCCACCTGGAAGGAGCAGGAGGGGATATTTGGGGCCCCAGGCCCACGTATCCTCTTCCGCACTGGGAAGGCTCGTGAAGTGTAAGTGACTGTGTGACTGGTAACAAGTCTGGTAGCTCATCACCCTTTGGTTCTTTCTGTCTATTCTTGATGAATCTCTCTGAGAGGAGTCGAGGGCGGGAGTAGCCGTGCTGAGGACAATGGAATGAGGGTTGGCGTCATTTGCTGAAGTAGAGAGCTCGGGAGGAAGAGTGAGCCTGGGGCGTGACTGCACATTCAGTTTTGGCTAAGTGTGCTGTCCAAGTGATTTGCCTTTGTGAGTCTGAAGCTGATCCAGCCTTGCTGTGTCTTGGCAAGCACCATATTTAAGGTCTGCTGAGGTAGTCTGGGCTTCACTGTGAACCACATGTTGACAATAACAAATAGTAAATATGTGCAGTCTTTACTATACATAGGGAACACATATGTACATAAGGAAGATTCTGCTCAAAGCCTTTGGA